CTCCCTCTCCCTCTCCCTCTCTCCCTCTCTCCATGTTCTCACTAAGTTGGTAACTTTTCCAGGCTAGGATGGAGCTTGCTATCCTCCTGCCTCAGCCTTCCAGATTTTGGGAATTACAGGTGTGCACCACGTGCCCAGTTGCTCTCATTATTTAAGGCAGCTTCCTTGCCAACCCCATATCCATCTTCTTGGCTCTGTCTGTATCCTAGAGACTGTTTTTTCATCAACATATTGTTTATTATTTTTGAGGAGCACCATGTTAGTGAATTATAAAACCTTTATCCCATTCTCATAGAAAGAATGGCATACAGAAAAATAAGCCCTGGTTTGAGGGTTCACAGTAGTTTTTCTCTTGTCTTGTGATGTGTTTACTTCTTTATAGAGAACCACATTCAGGCCTAGTTTTCTCGACAGAGAGAGAAGGTGAAATCCACCTCATCATCTTAGCTCTGTCAGGTTTAACAGCCTTCCTCACTCAGGCAAATTCAAGGTCAGCAGCCTGTAGTACTGTACTACTCTGGGGAACTGCGGGTGCCTCCTGGATTCCTTAGGTGGCTACCAGTTAGGAGGAGCGTGTTGAGGCTCCCAGGCCCTGCGGGAGCCGTGTCAAAGTGGACTCCCTTCCCGCCGGCTCCAGAGCTTCCCAGGGGATGCTACAACATCTGAAGAAACACCTGCTTCTGTTTTCCTCTGTTGGACTGTGGGCTACAGCATAGGCAGATGACAAAAGAGAGTGTTGTCTTAGTCCCTTTCCCAGTCCCTGGGAGGAAATACCTAACACGCCTAACTTAAGGGAGGGGAGGATACGTGGGTCTGTGGTTTGCAGGGGTTTCAGTCCATATTTAGCTGGCTGCAAGGCGTGACATCCTGGCACAGGGCAGGGTGCCACAGAGGTGCAGAGGCCGAGGGAGAGTGAGGAGCCAGGGAGGCAGATGAGTCCCCAGGCCAGGGAGTGGCCGGCCTCTTCCTGCAGGCCTCCTCCTCCTCATGGCAGCCCAGCTCTCAGCACCCATAGCCCAGTCACCTGCCAAGTGCCTGCCATAGTGGGACGTCTACGTTTCAAACATAACAAGCTCTAAAGCAGAGGCTGGTAGAAGGCAGGACAGCAGAGAGCCGGCACCTGCTGTGCTGGGCTGACACCTGCTTCTGCTCCCAAGGGCCCCAGAGCAGGCCACAAGCCGTGCACAGTGGCGCTGAGCAACCATCCCTTCCCACCATCTTTGGGACACTAGGCTCTGCTCTGCTTCTGAGGGTCGCCATACGGTCCACGGCTAAGATGGGCATGTGCTGGGATCTCCTCCAGGCAGCGATGTATGATTGATGCGCATCTTGAAGCTGCGTCTCAATGTAGGGAATGTTATCTTCCTAAGTAGAGTAATTGGAACCTGATTCAAGAAACACCAGGCACACTTCATAACCCAAGCGAAATCATTTCTGTTTGTAAATAATTTTAAAGCCCTTTATTAATATTATATCTTAAGGACTTGCCTTCTCAATCTCACTTAGGCTAAAATGCAATGTATACTTCAAATCTAGTATACATTCCACTAAGCCACAGCAGCCACAAATTAATGAGTAAGAATACTGTCAGCCCAGAAAAAGTACTTCTGAGTGAAAGAAAGGAACTTTTCCTCTCCTAACACAGGCAGCTTTGCCCTACCTGACTGATAGACATGTGTAGGAAAATGCTCCGGTCTATGAATAGGCATTCCTGCCAATGAATAATAATGACCTCATTATTAAACATGTTTACATTTCATGGCATCAGAGAAAAGAAACATCCCGATCCCTAGAGTTTTGCAAATTAAGTGCTCGGGGTTTCCTGACATAAACGCTGCAAACTATACCAGCTCGCCACACTTTTTAAAATACAGCTACTGTGAAAGCTGTAGTGTGCTTAGGAAAAATTAAAACAAAAATCAAAACACCATCTATTTTTATTCAAGCCCCCCAAGATCTTAACAAAAAGGAGTCCTCAAAGGAAAATGACACACCATTCTCGAAGCTGGCTTACTTCCTGTGGCAGGAGCTGGGATCTCACGTGTTGCAGAAATCGCACTTCAGCAGTCACAGGGAGAAACACTGCCTGCTCCTCCCCGTCCTCAGAGCAAGGCTCTGTGCTGGGCTTGATGCTTGACTCGAGGTGCCCATCAGGAGGCACTTCAGTCTCCACTGCATGCATCACCCTCATGAGCACCAAGGTCATCACGCCTCTTGAAGGCCTTAAAAATAACAGTGATGCAAGTGGCAGGGGACACCATGTCCTACCCCAGCAAACGTGGCCATTCTCAGGTCCTCTTTCAAGGGAATCCTGGGAGGCAGATAGTATGACATGGATTTTAGGGCAAGAAATGAAAAAAATGGGTGGACAAGTGGACAAAGACATTAGGCTGGTTCTTGAAAGGATGAGGATGGAGAAAGTGATGTATTTGAGATACGGAATGGTTGATCTGGGAATCTTTTCAGAACTCATCCACATCCTAGGAACTCAGAGAACTAGGAGAAAAGGGGGAGAGGAAAATTGATTATAGATTCAACTTTCCTGCTGGATTCTACTGAGGTAGAAATTCAGGAAAGCAGGCTACAGACCCCTGCTCCCCTGGCAGTGGGCAAGCAAGGGCTCTAGATAGGTGTCCTTCCAGGCACCCATCCCAGCTTTGGTTAGCAGCTGAAAACGCCTCTAGGATCTATGTCCTGAAGTGTTCCCTTGTGTTAGCACAGACTCCTTCATGGCATTACACGACACAGGAACTGAAGTAATTCTGGGGATTACTTTTATTTTATATAGTTTCCTTTCATAAGTACTATATCCAAGTTTTGTGCATTAAGTAGCATAGTTAAAGTATTTAAAGGAAATGTAAGAGTTTAGGTTCTTGGGCCAACGAAATAGCTCAGCAGCGTAAGTGCCCCCTGGAGGGCCAGCCAGACAGCTCAGCAGACTAAAGCGCCTTCTTAGACAGCGCGGTGGCAGGGGTTTGATCCCTGGCATGCTGTGCCGGCGCCACCCACAAGGCATACTGAGACAGTGATTAAAACTGGGCCTGGTGGCATGTGCCTGTAATCTCAGCACTTGGGAGGCTGAAAACAGGAGGATTGCTATGATTCCAATCTACCCAGCAAGACCCTGAACGCCCTGTAGACCCTGTACCAAATACATTTAAAAAAAAAAAAAAAAAAAGTGCCTGCCTGGCAAGTAAGTGCAAGGTTCTGAGTTTGATCCCTGGTACCAAAAAAAAAAGAGAGAGAGAGAGAGAATTTATATTCTATGTACAACTCTAATAATTAATTATGGGATAAAGAAAATAATAAATTTTGCCTAAAAGATCAAATACTGCTAGCACCACCACAAAGAAATTTCTAAACCTTTCGTAAAGAAATGTTTCTATGTGTTGTCTTTTCTCTCATTCTAGATCTAGGCAGTGATGGAGTTTATCGTGTCATTCCTCTAAGAATCTTCTAGATCAGCTGCTTACATTGTTCTGCACACTTACTGTTCACAGCTTTGCAAGACCTCCAGGGAAATGTCAAATATTACACACTGTTCTGGAGTTCTGCTACTTCAGATGAATCTATGAAAATCCTCCCCGGTGCAAACTCCTATGTCATTGGCCACTTGAACCCATGCACGGAGTATGAGATTTTTATCTCTGTCTTCAATGGAGCCCACAGCATCAACAGCACAGTCTTGCAAGCAACCACTTGGGAAGGGGGTAAGTCCAGATTCTGAGGGAAGCCCTTCTGTGGGCATGCCAATCGATTGATTGATTCTGGCTGGGCTTGATATCACACACCCCTCCACTATAAAATTTCCAGTGTCAGAGGGGAGCGAGTCCAGGCACAAATGCTTAAGTGCTTGCGGTCAGCAGGTGGTGGATCAGTGCTCACTGGGTCCCACAGAAAGGGCAGCACAGGCCTCACCATGGGAAGGAACCCAGTTTGCTCCTGTTCGTCTCAGGACGGGCTCCATTTGGAGCTGAGCACACACCAGTAAGCTCTGACATTTAGAAACACCTTTACAAAAAGATTTGCTCTTAGAAGCAGAATGCTAGGGCCAGCCAAAAAACTCAGCAGATTAAAGTGCCTGCAAGCAGGTGCAGGTGCAGGGGCCTGGGATTCGATCCCTTGGCCTGCTGTGCTGGCCCTGCTCCCAGGACACTCTGAGAAGGTGATTGAGACTGGGCGTGGTGGCACTAGCCTGTAATCCCTGCTCTTGGGAGGCTGTAAACAGAAGAATCACTGTGAGTCGGATCTAGTAGTGAGACCCTGTAGACCCTTCCCTAACAGAAAGAAAAAAAGAAAGAAGAAAGAAAGAAAGAAAAAAGAAAGAAAGAAAGAAAGAAAGAAAGAAAGAAAGAAAGAAAGAAAGAAGCAGAATGCCTTGCAGAGAACAGCCAAGTGCAGGGAGGGCCCACCATGAGTTACTGCGGATGGTAGTGGAGGTTCGGCCACCAGGAAAGATTGCCTGCGACTCATTTCCAAGCCAGTTAGCAAGGGGGAGGAAGGAAGGGAAGGAATTTGTGAATCTGAAATGTATTTGGAATGGTCTTGCTAATCTTTTTGGCTTTATAAAGTCTCATTACCAACATTATGATATCATTACCTCCCAAGCAAGTGTTCCAGGTCATTAGCAGAGCTCTTTAAGCGTGGAACCCATTTCCCTCTCCGGTGCCAAAGGTCAGCACCTTTTGTTTATAAAATAGGATGAATCACAAGGATGATTTTTCAACTAGTTAAGATGGGTTCTTATGATAAAAATAGGTCTCTGCATAGTTATTTCTGACATGCTTGAATAATTGTGTAATTTAACGCTAAGCAAGATTTTTTCTAATGTTAGATTTCATCATTACCAATGGTAATCAACATTCACAATCATTTACATAATGACAATATTGCATTATCGCTTCATATTGCTGGAGTTACAAGCTAGAAACATCAAATGATTTTTCACGTTCCACCAGCCTCAGTGCATTCGGATTCTATTTTTTGCTTCAGAAGCAAATTTCCTTTTTCCCCTCCCTGCCCCCACTCACCCACCCCCAACCTAGGAGGTATGGAATGAAGGGATGCAAAAAAGACAAATAATAGATACGTGTGAGCGATGCAGATGGGTGAATAATTTATCATCGCATCCCACTGGTCTCGGAGTATTGAAGATTAGCACTACGTTGGTGGTATAAAGCATTGTACTAGCGATTCTTATGGCTTCTAACTGAGAGTATAATAAGCCAATTTGCAGAGGACTACAGACTGTGATAACTTCATCAGAGCAAAGCAGATAAGCAAGGGCCCTCCGCAAAACCAAAGTACTAATCTGCATTTAGTTGAACAAGTGCTGTTTCGGAGACAGCTGGAGTGGATGCCTCTTCTTCCTTTCATTCCAGAGCCTCAGGGCATGCCGCCGCCAGAGGTTGTCATCATCAACCGCACAGCTGCACGCGTCATCTGGTCATCTCCTTCAGACCCAAATGGTGTTGTCACCGAGTACTCCATTTATGCAAACAATAAGCTCTACAAGACTGGAATGGCTGGGCCTGGGTCGCATATTCTGAGTGACCTGTCTCCTTTCACTGTCTATGATGTTCAGGTTAGGGCATTGTTTTGTTTTCTATTTTTCTTTTCTTTTCCTTTTTTTTTATTCCTAGGCTCATAGATATGTTAAATAAAACATGCAGAGTTGTGTCTCTGAGTGGATACTGGCTGTCTTGGTTATAGACTATTTATTTGGTGGGAAAGGGGAGAGCGAAGAGGCAAATTGATCAGAATTAAATCCGTTTGCTGTGGGCAAACAGCAGAGTCTCTGGAGAAAGGATCATGTTAAGATGGAAAATGATGGTGATGAGGATGGTGATAAAATTCTCCCTGACCAAAGGGAGCTAATCACAAATTCAAAATAAATCTGGCCACTTTGCCTTCGCCCCCCCCCCCCGCCCCCTGATCTTTTATTCTCAAAATCACAGTCACCCCATGCCTGTGGAGATGTGCCCAGGCCTGCTGCTCAGGAAGGACAGACCCCTTTCATGTCAGTTTTCACTTCGTGAGGGCCACAGGTCAGTGACACAGAACGTTCTGTCCACTGGATTTTGAATGCAGCAGGAAACCCAGAAGGAAGTGCGGCAAACTAATATCAAAGGGCGTTTGTTTGTTTGTATTTGAGGGTGAAAGAAAGACATCCAACAACTGTTCAGTGATCTATCTTGGGCAGGCCAAATAGCTCATCAGATTAAAGCGCCTGCAAGCAGGCCCAAGAGCTGGGGTTTTGATCCCCAGGCCTGTCATGCTGGCCCAGCTCCTGGGGCGTGCTGAGAGGGCGATTGAGACTGGGCGTGGTTGCGGGCCTATAATCCCATCACTTGGGAGGCTGTAAAGAGGAGAATCACTTATGAATCCGATCTAGTAGTGAGACCCCAAACACCCTGTAGACCCTTCCCTAAAATACAGAAAAAGATCTACATTGATGATCTCAAGAAGTTAGGGCACAATTGCTCTAGAAAAGAAAATGCACGCAAATGAGTGATGAAATCTAATGCACAATAGTAGAGAGTGCTCCAAGAAAGGGCTGTGTCAGAACTGAGAAGCTGCGGGGAGGGCCTGGCCTGTGCCCGGGCGGGCGGGCCGCTCCGCTGGAGGGAGTCGGTGCAGGCTGCACTGGATCCAGCTAGGGTTGTGAGCGCAGGAAGCTCTAACCCGAAGCCCAGCACTTGAATTTTGGTCTTGATGCCTAAGGTGCTTTTGTTTGGGGTAACTTTTCTTTTTTTGAGGGAAAGGAGCTCCTTACATTCAGAGACGCTGCACTTGATACAGCTGCTGCATTTCTGGAAGCTTAAAAGTTAAATTCGAGTGAGCTTTATTATGATGTTAAAGATTATTTAATTGGTATGCTTAGGCCAGCCAAATAGCTCAGCGGATTAAATCGTCTGCAAGCAGGCGCAGGGGCTGGGGATTGGATCCCTGGGCCTGCAATGCTGACCCCACCCCAGATTGAGACTGGGC